TATTGTGCATTACTGTTATGTTATTTGAACAAGAAGAGGCTGAACTAGTGGATTGGCACTTTCATGAAGAAGTTGTAAATTGTAATTTGGACAATTTAATTTTATAAAATGTAATCTTTTTTATATTTCATATTTGTGTTTCATATTTCCAGTTTATATATATTTTTGTACGTTAATTCACTAATTGCAAATTTTAAGTTGTAACTTGTAATTACTAATTTGTAAGCTGTAACACTTAACTAAAAAGTTGTATATTTTGTATTTTGTACTTTGTAATTTTATTAATTTTTTTTAAATTCGGACAAAAATCGACATCCGATAAAAACCGTTCGAATCCAAAATTATAAATATTTGACGATTTTAACTAATTAAATAAACGGATTGGATATATAAAAAATAAAAACAAAAAATCGAACGGGTTGACGGTTCATACATCCGAACCGTCTGAACCTGTCTGATACACACCCCTACTAACAGTTTCCCCTATCCTTTAGAAATTGTTTTGAATGATCATATTTTTTACATGATGAGCAATAATATGTAAAAAGATTGCTACTTGCTCATCAAAGCACATTCTTGTTGGCTTTAACCTTGATATAGTTTGTAGCATTGCACACAACTTTAAAAAGCATGTCGATTCATTCTAAGTTGAGATATGCATTTTTCATCACTAGAATACATCGTCCGTAACATATATTTTGAGACCCTAAATATTAATAATATAAGATTTCACTTGTTTTTTCGTTAGAACACAAAATTGTCAAGGAAGACATCATCATTATGAATAATAAACTCACAGAAGTACACATATCCAACCACACACGCAACGTAGCCACGAAGCTTTTTCTTCTTTGAGTATGAGTTACTAAACGCAATCGAGCCAGAACTGCAAATTGAATTAAAATAAATTAACATGTATGTGTGTGTTTGTCTGTGTGTGTGTGTGTGTGTGTATATATATATATATATATATATATATATATATATATATAGAGTTTTTTCCCAAAATGGTCCCTCAACTATTGCTCATTCTCAATTTTGCATTTCGACTTTTAATTACACCCAATGTGGTCCCTTGACTTTTAAAAACTCCCTCAAATTGGTCCTCCGTTAGAAATTCCATCTATTGAGTGTTAAAATTAAGGGCATTTTCGTCCATTTACCTATTATATGCCTAATATACTCTGAAAAATAGTCAAGGGACCATTTTAGGAATAGTCGAGGGATCATTTTGAGAAAAACTCATTTATTTATTTCATTTTTATTTATTTCCAGCTTCTATACATTTTTTTTACAAATATAAATAGTTAAAATCCACAATCAAACCTCAAAATTTTAAACTTTCTATACAAATTTGTTCCTTCTGTCTAAACATACAAACTTTTCCTCTAATCCTATCAAGTTTTACAATAAGTTTTGTGAATTTCAAAAATATAATACTCATATACTTTTTATGTTCACACACACACACACACACACACACTAAAACTTCAATAGACAATCAATCACTATGTATCTTATTAAATATTATTTTTACCATTGAAAATAACGTTACTATTTTTATCAGATTAGATACCCAAAATGTACTCTTCACTTCTCGGTCACTATGCCTTTTGAAAATAAAATTATTATTTTTACAATTAATCGCTATGCTCTGGCACTTCTTCGAACTGAGAAGTACGCGTCACTTCTCGGTCAATGACAAAATCTTAGAAAATATTTTTGGAAAGTTGGCTTAACTTAGCCTGTAAGGCCATTAGTTTCATTCCAAAGTTAGTACAAACCAATGAAACCATAGCTACCA